GATTAATCAGTGTTAAAATTTGTGGGGCTCACTTAACACATGACACTCCACTATTAGACTTCGAATGCATCCAGAGTCCTGACCTAATATTTTTTCCTATGATGGGCCACAACATTCATATCAATCGAGTACGCCCTCTACCACCCATTACAGTTATTACTGTTGAATTATCGTTATACATCACATTGTAATTTCATCTTCTCTAATTCAACAGAATAGTGATGCTATATAATTACAATTAAATAGACTATTATTTCAATTGTACTATGCCCACTGTTTTTTTTTCTTATTTTCAGTGTTTTCCACATAAAAAATTGAGTTGCCCCAACACGTTATATCTTATCTTTTATTTGTATTGCAGAATCTACGGTTCATCCCAAATTAAAATTTAATTTTTCATCTTTATTTCCTTAAAATAACATAAACTTTATGGCAAAATATTTGGCGTTATCTTATCTTCATAAACCATAATATAGTGATACATTATTTGCCAATTTAAAGTATTTTAAAGCAGCCAACTGTTTTTTTTTTTTCTAAAATTATCCGACTGTAAAACTTTCTAAATAATTGTTAGTGTGCTCTATGTTTCCTATTTTGATCAATTTGGCATTTGGTCATGTGATCTCATTAGTCTATGTAATTTCAATCTTTAATTAATTCATTTATTACCTCATAATCGTCTGCAATATAGCAATAACTTACTTGTTTTCATCTTTAAATAAGTGTAATTTTTGAAAGGAGAGAGGCTCGTGAAAAACTTATCGTCTAATTGGGTCAGCTGCAGCTTATTAAATAATTTGTTGATAAGTTGATTAAAACTAATCTGTTGATAAGCTAGGTGTGATTACTGTTACAAATTTTTTATTTTTTTTCTAAAAGTCAGACCACAGCCGAAAAGCTACCACCGCACCTACATAGGTGTGGTGTGAAAATGCAAGGTGCGGGGTAAAACGTTGTTTTTAGCGTTTTGAAAATACATAAGATGTCAAAATGAAGTTCACCCAAATAGTCCAGGTGTGTTTTCAAAATGCCACCGCACCAAATAAGCTGCCCCAAACAGACCCTTAAAGAAAATTTGTGATTTTCATTCTCCACCAAGAGCGAGAAAATTTTAAAAGAAGATCAACTTTTTTTTCAAATTTGAGAATTATACGGAAGTTTCTTTAGGAACAACACGATGTTTTGTGTGACGACACTCAATGCGAAGGTGATTTATTGATTTGGTAGTAGGATTCTGCTGATTGAAATATGCTGAGCGGGGAGAATGCCTGTTTTTTTGGGTTTGGCCGAACCACATAAAATTTTTTCTTATATGTTTTATATTTTATGCATTTTTAATTTCATAAACCATTATCAAACTATAAAATATTTATTTTTTAAATTAAACATTAAATTTTTTTTAATACGGCAACTCATCCCATTTTTGATGTGTGTTAGTTAACCATCAAGGTCCACCGTCCGATCAGTCCTGATGCGGCTACGGGAAAACAATTAATGGACGCAGATGTCTCCGTGATCGTTGGCCCGCCTGCGAGAGGTTAATGTCATAAATTGTAAATAATCCTCGTCCTCGTAATTGGGAAAGGCATTGATGTGTGCTAATAAATACGATTTGCATATAATGAAAGGGAATTTACATAAATAGCACGCAATTCTTATGGAATTACATAGTTAACCCCAAAGCTTCCATATTTACCTCTGATTTGGTCAATTAGTAATTGCCTCAAAATTATCTTCCGAGTGGCGCGAGTTCGAGTACGGCACGGCTTTGATCGTTCTAAAGACGAAGAAGTAAATTATTACTAAATGAATGACAAAACAATTGGTTAAATAATATATAATGTTTTTTTTTATGTAAAATATAAATAGATAAATTGGCCAATGCCAAAATTTACTCATGTCTATAGGTACAAATAATAAGTTATCATCAAATTTTCATCATATGCTATAAATCTCGAGGTATGATATAAATCTCAAAATATTTTTTTGGTAAGGAAGATTTAAACTCAAATTAAAAAACACCTAAGTCATCAATTTTGTATGTAATAGTGTTTTTGAAAGTTTTAATAATTAGAATGTCAAATGAATTCCAAATCTAAAAAGACTATAGTGAAATCGAGCATATCAATGAGAAGAATTCAACGAGTTATATATCACTCAATTTCGACATCGTTAAGACACTAAAATGTCCAAAAATGACATCAAATTTTGGGAATCTCTTTAGATCATTTGATGGTTTTATCCAGATCTTTTCTTATTTATAGGGGAGGCCAATCACGGACTCGATAATTAGAGTCCCACCTTCATGAGGGGGGGGTTGAAAAACCAAGACTTGGAACAAGACCAAGAAGTGTATGGAGGAGCCAAATTCCAAAACTCTTATTGACCGAAGACTAGGCGAACACTTCCCTCTATACGTAAAAGTGAGTCAAGCTGATTCGTGAACTAGCTTGAGCTCGGCTCGAAAAATGGCTTGTGAACTGAGCTCAATGATCTAACAAGCCAAGCTCAAGCTAGCCCATACCCGGCTCATGAGCTCGTGAGATGGCTCATTTAAAATAAATATTAATATAAAATATACTCATAATATATTAAAATTGAAGACTTTAATATTTAAAGTATTAAAAATTTTTAATATATATATATATTATTTTAAGTGATTTCTTATTATTTCTTTCTTAATTGATTATTTCATTTGTTATTTTATTATAATATTGTCTTAAATTAATATTAATCTATCTCTTTTAGCTAAACAAGTCTGCTAGTGAGCCAGCTCGAACTCGTCCACATAAGCTAAAACTTGAGCTTGAATTCGATAAAATTAATCAAGCTCTAGCTCAAGCCGAGGGTGGCTTCAGCTCGACCTGACTTATTTACACCTCTCTCTTCTGCTCATGTAACCGTTGTCCAACGTTGCCCAACACTCATTAGCCGCTGTCGACACCCATAAACCACCCACTTGCTAACTGTAATGAAGCTCCGTGTGAAGTAACAACCTACGTCCTAGTGTACAAAGAATCCTACGGTACAGTGCATCGTTCCAAAGATTGTGCAATGACTTACCTCACTGAGATGCAATTAAGTCTCGACAAATACTCTCAGTTGTGACAGTTCCTGTCCATCGTACACTATGTCCTCCTGCATACGAGCATTGCACTTCGACTAATTGTTTAAATTTTTTTCTGCCTGTGGGACAAGGCTAAATACGTGCACTCATTAACTTATAGTGAATCATTTTAGTTGGGTTTGTCCCT